GTCGTCGACAAATACGGAAGTCAGTATCGCGGGAACTTGCAGCACGACGCGCAAGAATTCTTGCTATGGCTACTAGATAAAGTGCACGAAGACCTGAACCAAGCTACCAAAAAGAAGTATAAAATCATCAAGGTGAGGGAGTCAAACAATTTTTTTAAGGTTATGTTTAATAGCGATACATCTCTGTTCCGTTACATGTAATGAACAGGTTTATAATCGTCCGCTGCAATTGATTATGTAATATGGATAATCATTAATCGACCACGTTGATTCCTTAATTCTTTGTCGTTCTTTTGTGATCGCGGAACGAGTTTGCGAATCTACGGACGTTCGAAATATTCGCGACGGATTTTCGACTTTTTCATCGTTTACTTCCGTGTGTATGCATCGTGAAAAAAAGCGTGTTTACAACATGAAACCTTGAATGAATTTTATTTATTACTCGAAGAAACTGAAAAGCCAGTCGATCACGCGGTCGCGATCAGAGGCCTTAACCTAAATTTGTTTCACGTTCGAAAAATACGTGCCGCGCTTTCCGAACGGTTCTATTGAAATCCGGACGAATCCGCGCGAAAGTGAACATTCCGGAAGAAACAAAGGATAAATAGAAATCGTGCATATACCGTGCTATGCACTCTTTATGAGAAGCTAGAAAATGATACGCTTATTCGGACTCGAACAGATGATACATTATTGAGATAAATTTTATTTTTTGATTACAGTTATATTACCCGTTTCATTTTTTCAATTATTGCACTACTTCGAAGTATTTAATTAATAGAGATATCTATATCGGTATGTAATAAAACACAACGTAGATGTTTATTTATCTTAAGTATAGATTATTTATATAACTTTCCAGATTAATAATCGATAAATTCTAATTATTAATATCCGATACTTGAAACTAACCTATTGTACAGTAAATACAAAAACTCAATACAGAAACTATTTTGTAATCGCGTATTACGATACAGATTCATTTTTATTTTTCATCCAATAGCAAAATTATCGAAGTCTTATCGAAGTGGCTATTTCTGAGAAAAAGTATAATAAGTACAGAGTACAAAGAGAACAATTCTCCCACGCGAAACAAAACCTGATATTCCGTTTTCTCGAAAGTGGTACCGTGAGAATGAAGCTGGTATTTTGAAGCTAAAAATAGTTCGTACTCAATAAACCGCGAACTTGACTAGTGAATCGCTTTTTATGTCAATGTATTGCATAGGAAGAAATAGAGAGAGTAACACAGAGCGGGACAAATTTTAGTTCTCTGATTCACCGCAATGAGATGCCCGCCAACGATAAGTGACGTAACAAGAAAAAAGTGCGCATCATCCTCGCCGATTAATTGGTCATTTTTTTACGTTTCTTGTTTCTTTATATTTACTTGACGGACAGTTGTCAATTAGTAATTAATGGCAGCTCTCTCAATATTGTTCATTACCGGATGTTTCTTCCGGTTATGCTCAATAGATGCTATATTTCTTTTTATTGGCTACTGCCACATGGCGGTCGCAGTTACATGAGCGGTGAGGTAAGAGGTAAAGAAAAATAACTGTAAACAATATGGTGCATCATCACGTTCGGCAAAAGGCAAACAAAACTCGTTCCGAGATAAATGCGACGAGTAAGAAATGTAGAAGCTTACAAAATGAAATTAATTTTAGATTTTTTTCTTATCGTTGATATAAATCTTGGATTAACCAGATATTATTTATCAATGCACGTTTCTGGGATGAAGCATGCAAGATTAAATTTTTTCGTAACGGAAAATACTTTTATTTTTTTATCCCAGTACTCTTGCGAAAGTCTTTTTTTTTTTTAAATGCGATTTAGTAATAGTAATATTTGTTGAGAAATATTTTTAAGACGCAATGAGGAAGACTGTAGCAGTCGGACGGGTTTAATAGGTGATTCGTACGTTCTTTCGATTTCTTCTTACATAATAGATGCGATTGAGAATTTTTTTAAATAGTATACTTGCTTATACCAGATCATTTATCACACTGCAGAAATATTACCTGATGAATGGGCGTAATTGTATTTATGTACGCAATTTTCAAAGTTTATATAACATTCCGTTTGAAAATGTTCCTTCGAATATTTGTCGCGCAAAAAAACTACAGTTATCCATGACAGAAGAGAAAATGTGAAATTATTCTACGCGTTTCGCTTCTGAGTATTTACTTCTTACTACGCTAGTGAGACTAATAACCGCTAGATGGTTAACTCCGAACAATTTAATCGCTAATTATCTAAACAACTGAATTTCTTTTTAATGCATGTATACACTTTCTATTTTACGCTGGATCCTCGTTAAAATTCTATTGTTCGTCAACTTTTTACATGTTTCATCCTCCGCCATGTTTCATCGTATGAAATTAAAAAGAAAATTTTTTAAGTAAAATGAAAGTACAAAAAATATGAAATTTTCTCTTTAATTAATTTTCTCTTTAATTAAAAATTTGATCTTTTTCAAATATCTTATTCGATTTGTCTCGACGAGCAGTGCTCTTTCCACGCGAAGTCATAATCGCGGCAAAAATTACCAGTTTAAAACGTTTGACACATTTACCATAAGTTGTTACCGACTCGACGCATCTCGCCTGACTGACTCTCTCACTCTCTCTTTCGCACTTCATTCTCTGGGTACACGGGTCCACTTGATCCGTTATCTTATCAGCCATTTCTTGCACACCGTCGAAGTGTTTGTCGAGCATCAGATAAGGAAGCGATCTTCAGCGAGCAAGTCGATAATCCGGATCAGGAACTAACAATGTCCGACATGTCGTCTGCGTGGCTTGTTAACTCGCTGCTCGTGCCACTTTTTCGTAACTAGTTTTTTCCTCGAGCGCCCTTCATCGGCCACGTTGACCGACTTCTTCGAAACCGGTCATTGAAACGCCTTGAAAATTCGAAGATGCTCTCCGGCGGCATTAACGCCTTCTCTCGTAGAAAGTCGCTACTCGCATTTCGTACGAGTTTCTTTTATTGCATGTTCAACCATACGTATAACGATTAATTCGATATTTAAGAATGAAGTAATAATTTTATTTGCCGATATACTGTTTACTACGGTTGAAAAATTAAAAAAATGTTTTTAATTTTATCGCGGAACACGGTAAATGTACTCGGAAATGTTACCCACCGAGCATATTTAATAGCATAGCGGAAAAAAGAGTAAATCGAAGAAACATGTACGTTTATGTATTTATATATGCAAAGTAGTAATTTCGAACGAATTGACAGCTCGAAAAGTGTCCAGACAGATTCGATGCTTTTCAAAATGCATGAAGCCACTCAAGCACGTGCTAACCGACGGTGCCACGTATTATTGACCTTGCGATAAGATCGTTAGCTCTTGTGGTTTTAAAATCAGGATATTTGATTTACGTACTTCAAGACTGTATGCTATTACCATTATTATTTATCATTCGTTAGAATATAATGTAACGCTTCATAATCTTAGCGAATCGTGACTTTGTGAATAATTTATCCTTTTTATAAATACCAATAACCTTTGAAACTGTTATGCGTATTAACGTGACGCATAACGAAGTAAATTAATTCTAACCTCATTTACATAATTAAATACATGCTTATGCTATATTTGTCGTTTCGGGGTATATATGCGTAAACAAACAGTCAAATTTTGAATTTAAATTAGTTGAATTTATTAATTACCATAGATAAATTCCTCATTATGACCAACCGTACTACTGGTCGATAAAACAGTTTACCCAAGTTACGCACAGATTCCATAGATTACCCGCAAACATTTTTATCTGTGGTGCACGATTATTTTCACGCAATGTCTCGTGAACCAATTCCATAGTGGTTGTTAAATCGTGTCGCTTTAGGCGTCCGTGAGCAAATACCACGTGTCTTTAGTCGATCATTTTACGATTATCATTGCCGATGCCGCTCTTATCGTCCCTGCTTCTTTCCTTCCTCGAACCTTCAATTATGCATTTGCTTGCAGCACACATAAACAGAATTTACCGGCATCCTTCGTCAATTTCTTTTCGTATTCGTTATTGTACGAGGATGGGTGTGTAAGGAGACACGAAAATTATTGAGGGTAACATACATTTGAATCCAAAACACCGTGACACTACGTCTTATGAAAAGCCACCTTCGACGAGACCTTGCGCGCGCATGCAATGTAATGCGTGCTTTTATGTCGCAAAAGGTCGTTCCGCTCTAGCAATCAGAATGAAAATACAGAAAAATACATACGCTTCTCAAATTAAACCGTGAAAGTAATTTATGTTTTTATCTTAACAGTTACGAATAATAAAATCCACTTATGGTATACCACTTATATGGTATTAATTATTTTAATTTTTATACGAAATATAAAAAGAGGTTAGTTAGATTTGAAAAGTTTAATTCCACAGTAAATTAATTATTAGTAGATAGTAGAACTATTTTTCTTCGAACGAAGTTGATACTGAATGGAATGTTCGATAAGCGAAGTAGAAAAAAGAGGAAAGATAACAAACACATGAAGACTAGTCCACATAGGTTCAAATATTTGTTATCAAACAAACGATCAGCAGTGTGCATCCACTTTTCAAGTACCCATTGTTGGCGCCAAAATATCGTTTTTTCCATAAATAATATCGTATTTTTACATTCAGTTTAAAAATGAAAAGGCAGTAAATCCAGCCTTCATTATAAATCTTCTACTGACTTTGTAAATGTTTAGCTTGCTTTATCAGCTTAATACTAAAAAATTTCTACACGTGTTCTTTATGGTTATGGTTACAACTTTTACCAGATACATTTTATACAAAGTAATTTTTGTTTAATTTTTCTCCGCAAAGTAATTGTTACAGCTTGTTTTATTTACTTAATAATATTATGATTCTATTTTGATAGAAAATTGTTATTCAAGTTCTCATAAAGAGGTTATAAGAAGTGACCTTGAATGGGTCCACGAATCAGACATTCCAGAGTCATAAGAGTCATATTACAAAATACAGTTAACATGAATTTGTGTAGCTTCCATTTATCGATCCTTTTCTCTCGTCAATTTCGAGTATATTATTCTCGATTTTATTTCACGATTCGATTATATATGCAGAGTTATGTAATTAAATCTCGTTCGGTTTCGAACCGTTAATAAATAGAAACGAAGAATGCAGTGTACTGTTACAGGCAGTTATTTTGCATCAGCTAGAATTTTTTCTTTTTCTCTCGAGTTTGGTTGCATACCAGCGATACCTTTGCTACCGACAAGTATGGCTGACACGATGAAACAATTTGCAAACGTAACCGATTCCTTTCATTGGAACGCGTTATTTCGTGGAACATAGCACATTGATCGTAAAAAATATAAATGCCATTGGATGAACGTGTAATGATAAGTTCGTATTTCAAGGTTAAAGATGTGTCACGTGATAGTGTGCCAGTTCGACACGTGATCTATTACCTTTGATTCTTGTTTACTAATTTGTCTCCTATTTAGGTACTCTTAATTAGGTATCATTTAGAGAAACAATCCAAAGGTTAACTAATTTGAAAATTAGGTATTTCCTGATTTTTAGTAAAAGCTTGATCAAATTTTTCCATTTTACGATTCAAGTAATTAAGTTTTAGTAATAGACACAATCCATAAAGTTTTAATAGAAAAGATGGAAATTGTTATTCTTCCCCTAAAATGAATTAATCATTATTTGTAAATATACGAGTTGACTATTTGTGAAAATCCATTAATATGATTAATTAGCGTATTTATTAACTGGTTTACATAAACGAGCGTTCAAACCTCTGATTTCTTGGTTGCATTCCTAATGACGATGTGCTGTTTCTATGATGACCTTCACGTAATATTACGCACAATGAATCATAACATCCGATGGATTACTGTTTCTCCGCTCGTCTAATTACCACTAATCAAAGCTATAGGCCCCTAATACGGTATATATCTGTTAAATCCCAAATAAACGAATTTCATAAATATAATAATAATAATTTTTATATCAATTAAAATACGTTTTGTACAAGAGATTTAACATTTACAAGATATTAGATTTATTTTTATTGCATCTGAAATTTATTTATTTGATGTTAAAATCAAAGATACTGTAATGTATTTCATTGTCTCACCGTGTCGATAACTATATATATATTGAAAGGTTCAGGAGGGGAAACTCGAGTACTTTCGGATTCCAGCCACTGCAACATATTTCAACGCATTCCATGTCTGTCTGGCTGAAAGAAATTAATTATAAGTTACGGGTCGAGGGACGCTGATTGCTACTGTTACGTAAAGAATGTTTAGAGAAGCCACACTTCCTGCTTTTTGTTTTGCGGTTGTGTAGGGAGTAAGCCATCGATGTGTTGATATTTGTTGCATTTTGTCGCAACATCAACAAGTTCTAACCCGATTTACTTTTGTTTGACTTGACGTAGCTCGCCGAGGAATAACACTGGGAATTAGATTCAAACGCTCTTGCTATTTACGTTTACTTTCATTTGCACTTCGTGTGTGACTTGCGTATAAATCAAATGTGGATTTCTCTTTTCTGTTTCATGCAGTCATGTATTGTAACCTAAAAAGTGAACACACTGTAAAACTATGTATAAAAACTCTGAATATAATTAAGATTTATTTTAGGTTAGGTATGAAGGTAGAGAAAAGAATATAAAGTCATAACCTGAAATTTAGCACTGGACTAAATGATAGGAAAGAATAGACTCGGTTGATTCTAACGAATTCCGTAAGGGTTACCGACCGACTGACCAAACTTACCTAACCTTTACATAAGTACACGTGTACCAACATGACATTGACCAATTGTGAAGTTGCGAATTGTAGCGTGAGTCGTTACAACCTGTATGCATCGAAAATTATTTCCGGCAACCGGATCGGCGATACATCCTGTGAACTTAACAGTTATCGTATTTTGTGATTTCTGAACACATGCGAAGAATTATCTCGTACAATAAATGGTCAAATCTTATCTAGGAAAAACAAATTATTTTCTGCTATAACAAGAAAGTAATTTTTCTTTTACTTAATTCACAATAATTCTACTTGAAATTTCTTTTCGTCACTTTTGTTTTTATCGTTTTCTGAATCAGCTTCTTAATTATTCCTCGTTATCAGTAGAATGATAGTAACAAATAAATGCAGGTAACTCCTGAAAATATTTATGTTTGATTAAGATTGTGTTTAGAATTTTCGATTACATGAAATGTATGTTTCATTTGAAAACGATGCAATTGGAAGGTCATGAAAACACAAGTTTTCGCGATCCGATTAAGGGAAGCCTTCCATGCCGACCGAACGCACTGCCCCGAGAATCCGCAGATCTGAAAGGGGGCAGAGGAAGAGCACGCGAGGCTTATGGCGTATTTCTAAATATTACCGATAGAGTTAATCAAATTATCATTTGAAATTTTCCGACCATTGTAAGCGATTGTGATAATGTAAATGCAAAGTGTCAAAAAAAGAATATGAATATATATATATTTGTATCGATATACGTATATAATAATAGAATATTTTTAATACTTTTAAAAATAAATTATAAATTATCACTGTCGTTTGTTAGGACATTGTACTAGTTGTTACAAAACAGTTCGAACTTGCGAATTTTAGCGAGTCAACGACAATTGTCTAGTGTTGATAAGAAAATCTCACTTGCTTTGCTTCTTCTCTTAAGCCTGTTGCGAAATGAAAAAGTGCAACAGACAACATAGACAGCAAGAAATTACCGGTAGACGGTTATTATTAGAATGAATACGTTATAAATGATCGGCTTTATGTATCTTGAGTGATGGACTGTGTGCACAAACTTCGCGTGTCTCGATCTATCTGGTTAAAAAATAAATCTTGAGAATTCTGTGTTACCTCTAAATAAACGTTCGTGCAAAATGTTAAATACGATAATGTCAGTACGCAGTCATGTTTGAAACACGGAAATACTTAGAAGGAGATGTGGAAACCTCTCAACTTACGAAAGTAATTTTAAAGTAATTTGTGCTTTGCACTTTCTTCCCTTTCCTTTTCCTTCTTTCTCCTCGACGTATCAGTGAGTCAATGCAATGGTTTCTTAAAAACAATAGATATGTTAAGTATTATGTTAAATAGAATTACTCATCATTGCTTTCGCTTCAATAAATCTTCATTTGTTGAGAATCTCTTTGTTAGCAACAAATGTTTTATATTCTTTGTTTTACTTACATCGTAGCATTTGATGATGCTGAATCTCGTATTATCCTATAAAATTTATACTTTTAAGTTATATTTTTGCTACTAGTATTTTTTCATTTTCTTTTTTATTTCTTTTTTTGTTAATAAATTAATTAGTATGATATATTATTTACCTGGCTTCTCACCTTGTTTAACCTATTGATGATGTAAGATAAAATGTTTCTAAGCTTGGTTAAGAGCTTTTACAAAAATGTACCGAGGTATGCACTTGATTATTTGCACTGTCATAAAACATTGCCAATATTTTTTACGATATTCGTGGTAAGGATTAATTATTTCGTCATCACTTCTGTATTTACTCGAATGGTTTCCAATATCTTGACGATAAGGCTGCTGGTATTTCACACATAACCATAAAGTGTGTTTCGTAAGTAATGATATGATAAGATCAGCATAAATTATAATTAATCGATCGTTCTGAAAATGATAACACGTAATAATAAATAATCTAAGATAAATATACGCGTATGTTGTCGTGTGTTGACAATTTTAAATTTATTTAAAATTTTGTCCTTTCTTTTTTAATTAGAGCGATTTTTGTAACTATTATGGCTATACTACCATAAACGTTTTTACTTTTTATTGACAAAATTTTAATAAAATAATATTTATACTGTATATAATATATTCCAAATTCTATCCTATAATACATTACAGTAATTTCAAATTGATATTAGAACGAACGTAATTAACCTCCAACAATAAAGCAAAATAATGTTTTGCAGGTTAGAAAGTTTCTCCGGTTTCTCTCAGGATGTTCACTCACCTCATTTCCATTAAATAAACGGGTTATCTATAGTCGATAAAAAACACGTCATTATTGCAAATATATTGATTTGTTAATAAAAGTGTTTTTACGTGGTTTACAGAATTCTTTTGGCAGACCAGATGACATCGTCGCGGCGGAAACTCTGGCGAATCATGTCCGTTGCAACAATTCATTCGTGCACGCGGTGTTCCAAGCCCAGTTTCGGTCTAGTCTGACCTGTCCAAGATGTCACCGGCAGTCAAACACGTTCGACCCTTTCCTCTGCGTGTCAGTACCTGTCCCGCAAAATCATCGACAGATGAATCTTTTCGTGAACGTCCTATATACGTCGCAACAACCGCGGCAAGTGAAGATCGGTGTGAGTGTAAATCAGACGGCCAATGTAAGAGAACTTAGAGAAATTCTGGCCAGTGACACCGGAATCGACGAAAATCATATGTTACTCACAGAAGTTCACGATGAAGGATTTCACAGGTAGAATATTATTTTTTTACGTATGATCTCATTAAACAAATGACTATTGCATTAGCTTTATACTAATTCGTTGTTTGTGTTTTGCAGGACATTTTCTGATTGCCAACCTTTATCTGTGATCACGGAAAACGATCCACTCTACTGTATAGAACTGCCACAGCTAAAGGAACCCACCGAGCAAGCATACATCCTACTTGTATGGATTAATATTCTTGTAAAAGGAGATTTGAGGCAGCGTTTTGGCAGTCCTTACACTATGCAAGTGTCTAGGGAAACATCTTATGAAGACCTACAAAAACTTCTATTAAAGGAGATGCATAGTGTTCTGGCTGATGATGTTCTTACTTCCAGTCAGAGTCCAGGACTGTTTAACATCCGCGTAGCCGACCCTGCAGCTACGCCTATTCAAGATGAGCATCCATGTATAGATCCTTGTGTAGAGCACCCCCTTTATACAGAACAAATTGAACAAGCATTGGCTCTCTGTGCAGATGACTCTGGCCCTCAACATGTAAAATTAATTTTGGAGTGGGATGAAGCCACTAAATGTAATATTATTCAAGATGACAGTGATCAAATTGAAGAGCATGCTAGTGTGAAGCAACTGAAAACAAATTCAGAACTTGGAGGAGCTGTCACTCTCGAAGAATGTTTCGATCTGTATACGAGAGCTGAAATATTAGGAGCAGAAGATGCATGGCACTGTCCATATTGCAATAAGAAACAAGAGGTTGTAAAGAAGTTAGGTCTTTGGTCTTTACCTGATATATTGGTTATTCATTTAAAAAGATTTAGACAACAGTCTAAACAAAGGTCTACGTCTAAATTAACCATGTTAGTCGATTTTCCTTTATACGGTTTCGATATGACTCCGCACCTTGCTCATAATGGAGTCCAAACGCATAATAACGTGAGTAGTCTAGGTGGTCTAGGCTGGTCACCTTGGAAAAAACCAAGACCTCGTCAACAAAATATTCCAAAGTACGACGAAAACGTTTACGATCTTTATGCGATTTGTAATCACCATGGACAAGATTTACAAGGAGGTCATTACACCGCGTTCTGTCGAAACCCGTATGACACTCAATGGTATTGTTTTGATGATACTCGAGTCGAGGCGGTGAATGATACCAATTTAATAACAAACGCAGCGTACATGTTGTTTTATCAGCGAAGAGGGTTGACTAATAATTCGGGAAATTCTTCGGCGGCCTCTACAAGCTCAGCCGGATCCGGGCTTGATCATTGGGTCTCGAAAATGCCACCTTTTTATTTCAACAACAAGACTAATAACAATGTTACAAACAACAATCAAAGTAAATCGCAAGAAGTATTGTGTCAAGATAAGATCGTAGAGGAGAAGAATATAACGAATTTCAATAGAGGGTGTCGCAATTATGCTACTCTGCAACCGAAGAAAAGGAACGTTGCAACAGAAACGGATATTGGTCAGATTGATCATTACTCAGACGATGAAGCACCTTGTAGGAGAGAATGGGTATGTTGGTAAAAATTACAATGCGTATGATTTTATATTCTGGATAATTTATAAGTATCGTCTTTTTTAATTTTGTATTTATGTGTGTCTTTAGGCTTCACCAAAACCTGTTCGAAAAATGTCGTCCATTACGTTAATGCCACAGTCTACGATAATTCACAGTGCCAGTAGTGATCCAGACACAACGATAATACACGAGTCGACGTTGTAACACACGATTTAAGCCAGATTTAATCTGGCTTGAGCAACGCTCAATGTATAGTGCCTGGAACATGGTGTGTGAATGATCAGAAACAAGTTAGAATCGAAGAATACTAAGACAATTTCTCGCGGAATTTAAGTCGAATCGTTTCTTATCAAAGACTTCACATAGTTTGTTTAGAAAAAAATCTATGAATCTTTTGCTCCGAATTTATACATATGAAAATGCTTTTTTTTTTATATTACCTAAGCGTTAACCGAGCAAAGAATACCAGGAGCCTCTCTAATTTCTTTGTTTTGATATTTAAAAAAAAATTGCGACATTAGACGAATGTTTTTTGAGAATGCAAGTGAAACTCGAGGCATTAGTGATTTTTGTATTTATATCGTGTTTACACAAATTGCGTGAATTGTATTGTACATTCTAGTTGTTAGAAAACTTTTTAAGAAAAGGACAAATATTATATTCAGTATCAAAAACTACGAATCCCTTATTTACGAATTGTCTATTGTTAATACTTAGATTTTCAACGCAATAGGTAATTAATGTTCTACATATGTCCAGTGAGAATGTATGTGTGTCAAAGAAACTTTGTACGCGACCTTTTTTCAAACCTGTGAAACAAAAGTCGCATGCGTCGCGTTACAATGAAACTATGACAATAACTGAATCTTGCACGTGGCAAGATTTACGTATTACGGTGACTTTGTTTTCAGTGATAATTCTTGCTTGGACATACTATGTAGTCGCTAACCATTGCTTTGGATCTATGCTTAACTATAATATTTATATCGTATTTGTATCACCCACTAGTGGCCTTATCTCAGTAATTAACATTGATATGTCATTTGCAATCATACAAGCATATTTACTATTTTGACAGCGTTTTATTACCGAACATTGACATTATATCGTGGAAGCCATCAAATTATAATATGTGTATCGATAATTCTTCTTTGGATTCTGATGAATAGACGACCAAGAAAATCAATATACTTCCACTTGAAAGTCTCGTTCTTCCTGCAATAATCGGCGCAACTGGATTTCATCATTCGAAAAAGATAATCTGTCGATTCTTAGCAGAGTGGCTTTCCTAACATACCCTTCAGCGATATTTTCTCTTTTTTATTGTCAAATACTCTAATCTCTCAGTTGTAACGATCATTCCACTTAGACGTGTTTATAAATAGAAAATGATGGAAAGCGGAAGCATGAAAGTGAAACAGATTTATATATACATATACATATATACACACGCAAGTGTATAATTAGCGAGTGAAAGATATTTAAGTTATTTTAAAAGTAACATTTATTGCTAGTCACACGTACCGTGGACGGGGGGTAGCGAATAAAGATTGTATGTGACGAATTGTAAATGCAATTAGTGTCGAATTCAGTGTTAATTGTATGAAGAAAAGCGTTCGATTGTGGAAAAAACAGCGTGTGGTATACTGTCGTATACTCGTTTTAACGGTGTTTGTACGTAAATTGGTTCCTGTGGCAAAGTTAGGCCAAATCAAGTGCCATGATGGTCCCGAAGGTATATAATACTCAACGAAAATTCATATATTTTTATGCTCGGTCATCTGAAAGGATTATCCTTTTTAAATGTAACAATTGAAAGGGCTTTGGTGTCTTGCGAATTGATGGTCAATCAATTACATATAAATAATTTAAGTTGTAGCAAGAAAGTAAATGATATTTCTATATATGTTCTGTCACATGACCGAGTATCGTTAAAGATAAAAAGTTCCCTTCGTGGCACTTAATAAACTGTAAACGGTAGGACGAATGTGTAGAATGTGTAAAATAAAGGAGAAGCAAGGGAAAGTCGCTACCCGTTTATTATTTTATGATTTTAGAATTTTTTGCGCATTCACGTTGATCGACTGAGGGATACGTTATTAATTATTCATACTATCGCTGCTGTTTTTGTTGAAATAAATTAGAGAATGTGTATATAGATAAAGAAACGTCATTCCACTTGTGCACGCTGAATTGTGTCAGCTTTGATCTATGATTCTAAATACTTCGCGTTTTTTGAAGTAACTATTGTTGAAGCTTGTTACGTTTAATAATAGAAATTAAGTGCCACGCTTTTTATAATTTTCCAAGAGCACGCGTGGGAAGTTCCCTTGCATCATTTAAAAAATTTTAATGTGAAAAGAAAATATCGACCAATTGTACACTAGTCTAATATATTTTATTGTAGCTTGCAAAATACACGATAATTTGTTATATCAACGTAATATCGAAGGTGAAACTTGCAAAAGAATGAATATCACGTTCACTTGATTTTATTTTAATCACACCATGTCATGGATCATAGAGTGTAGATCGTATAGATGAGAAAAAAGATTTTAATTCAGAACGAAACATTGTATAATATTATTATTCAAATCTACTGTAAAAAGTTTATAAATAATTAGTGATAAAAGAAATCGTAATATACAGAGATTTGTCAATAAAAAGTAATATTCATACATAAAGTATTTGGAATATAGTAATTTAAAGAAAACAATTATGTATTTGATTATTATTTACATTAAAATTCGATTATAAAACATGTGTTAATTTTAAAAATATGCCGACATCCTATCCCTTGACTTCTTTTATTATTGAATAAAACTATAGTCTTTATTTTGTTATAGAATTTGTCACTTTAAATAATAAATATGCCATTAATAATATAAGAATAAAATAATACAATTTGTACTAAAAATATATAAAGTATTGAAAATTAAATATTTGTAGTAGTCGCATCATTCCGTATCGAAATTTGTAATTCGCGCCATTCGTTTCGTCCATTTTTGTGGTGGGGCGCGTTAGTCGATTGATACGGTGGTGGGGAGTGTTTATATAAGTGTTGACCGAAAATTACGTGTGTCACTATCATTCGATGCAGGAAGAAATGATGTTTACATTTCTTTTTAATTTTCCAATTTTTTTGTATATATAAAGTAATGCCACATTTTCTACTTATATGAACTTAATGTCATTCTATCTTATAAAATTTTATATTCTAATAGATTTTTCATTCATCAACTGTCGGTAGGTAATTATTATTGACAGTTGATAATTTAAGATAATCACATTGATATCAAAAATTCATCTGTAATTATTTAATAAAAAGAAAATTTATAATAGCATACAAAAATAAATAATGCTTCCTCCCGAATTTTTTTCGTATCTTCACATTGCGTTTCATTTTTTCACATAATATATCAATTAGTAAATTTAGTTATCATTAGCTTTAATTGTGACACTTGATGTGATAAAGTGAGAAACAATTATTTATATCACTATGTCTATTATTTCGTTATTTAATGACAGAATCTAATTTGACTTATCTAGTAGCATTTTTCAAAACAACAACTTAATGTGACCAACGTGAAATATAATCATGTGCGCATATAAATTGTCGATTCGTATATTACGCCACAGTCAACATTTTAAATAAAAGAAACAGAAGACAAACCGTAATATCAGGTTTTATTTTCAAATAATCGAAAATTTAATTTCTGCTATTAATATTTTAAATCTCGATTCGTTTCATATCTTACCTCAATGTCAATAACATATAGAGCTTATAAATACAGCACACTCTGCACGTTTATTGTATATGAACAAATATAACAATCCATAAATATAAGCCATAAAACGTATCGCTGTTCATAATACATCGAAATTCATAACATATTCCTTGCATAGTAGAGCAAAGAGACTCAAGTGGTTCCGATATTACGGTCTGCTCAAATAAATCGTTTCAATATAGCGCTGTACCACGAAGTTCCTCCTATTCGACATGTCGATACGATTGGAAGCTTGACTAGGGTTAGTGATAGTGAACAATGTCATTAGGCGTTTAATCGAACAGTGTGCCGAGCAGCAGGAGTCTTCTCTCGCTGATATTTACCTCGAGCGAAACAATTCGCTGGAGCGAACTGTACATACGTCTTAGGAGGAAGATGGAATTGCGTGCTAGTACGTTGGGATTGGCCGTAGCGCCACCCCACTCCGCGGAGGCTTTCAGTCGAGCTCGGACCTTCGTCGAGTGTGGAGTGCGTGTTGTACCGTTGTGTGTCAGTGTTCAGATTATTCACTGAAAATTAAGGTAAGAAAACTTTTTCTCTTACTATACAACGAAATACGTAACAACAGAACGTATACTTCGAAATTGTTTCACAATCATAACTGATGCACGAAGCCGGCGAATCCTCGTACGAAAACCGTCCTTGTTCTCGTTGTTAACCGACGTTGCATGGAGACAGAGAATGTCGTGCGCGATCGAGTTTCAATGATTTCTTTGCTCACGCTCGAAATACGTACCGAGTCTAAGTAACCGTCGGCGTTCTAACGAAAGCAACAACAAGAGACAGCGCCTCTCCCACGAGATAAGAGAGACAGAGAGAACGTGGTGGCGCTCAGAGCCGTCTTCGTGTGTACTCTCGGGATCGATACACAGTACACACTTGGCGCGACGTTCGTGTAAGGTTACGGTTTGCACGGGATCGCATGCGGGTGTGTATGCCTCTTTCCACGCTTGTCTCTCGTGGTGTCGTTGTGTTACGTGTCTGCGTGCATGCTCCCTAAGAGCGAGGGTGGATTTTCGGTGTAGCTACAGAAAAATTCAAAGAAATCGAGAAGTACGCGCCGCGCTATGCGGGCACCTCGTGAAACGCACCCTCTCTCGAGGCGAGCGCGCCGGCAGCCGATGCTGAAAAGAAACGCGTGAGAATGACAAGTAAGTGCAGCAAAGATATTCAAAAGGGGAGATTCGGCGTCTGGCATTTCGCGTACCTCGAATTATAATAATGAGACTTGTCACGTAGTCCTATTGTATCTGACATAAATACGGTACGTAGAGGATATTACAGGTACCTACCATCTTTGTCATTTAGAAGAAAAGAAATAGTAATTTCACTGCAATAAAATTAGATTTTAATTCTAATTTAACATAATTGTTAATTGAAGTCACAAAAATCTATCAATATATTTATAATGGTATACGTCGTACGTCATTAGAAAGAAACAAAAATTTTTTCAACTCGGTGGTTAAAAGATAGGTTATAAATAATTTTTCCCATACAAAATATTCAAAACTCACTTTGACCGCCAAAAGTCCATTTAGATTCAACGATAAACATCGAGTTATTTTGAACGTCAGTGAACGCGCATAAAAACAATTCCTCTCGTGATACCTCTTAATCTGATGGAAAAAAATATTCATATTTGACGGTAGTAAACGTAACGTGACAGCGCGCAATAACGTGAAGCAAATTCTCTTTCCACCGACATAACCTCTTTACCGTATGTCTGATATTCCCGGCTGAATTTTTAACGGGAATATTTCTTTTTTTATGTCGACACTAACGAAGTTGAAAGTGGACAAGTTAGGCGTATTTAGCTACCGGTCGCTCAAATATCCGGTTATTCTCGTATCGAACGAATCCGACATCTTTTCGTTTCTGGAAGCGGTAAGGTGACCGACAACAGGATAGTCATAATACGCTCGACCGATTGTGGGAACCGAAGAACCGCAGCGCGCGAGGCTGTCAGATTAGAATAGGTTTCGTCGAGTTGGTGACTTTTTACGTAATGAGAAATTTTAATATCCTAACCTATTTATCGGTTCAACGAACAGTCATATTTCATATCGCGAAAATTTTTTTAAATACACGCGTATATACACGCTGCCTATTCGAATGTAAACATCGTCGAATTTCGTATTATACTTTACGTATATCTAGTATAAATTTTGTAAATCGAATTATTTATTTCACCTCGTAATTTTTTTTTTAATGTATGTACAGGTTCATACGCAAGCAATGTAACAAAATAGGAAATACTGTTATATTTCGTGTTTATAGGTTATGGGGTACAACTGTTATTTTAAACGCGCCCGTAGTCGTCCTTACGACCTAGCTGTTGCGTGTACCATCTGTGTATCGTCCTGTGACTCATCTATGATCTACACTATTCATGCGTGTTAAACCTATACACGCGAGCGGTATTCTAGTCGCACATTTCTTTGTCCGAGCATCCGGCGTATTTCTTAAAACGCTTGGCAAAACTATTGTTTCGTAAGAGGGCTGCACAAGTGTTACTCGCGCGTTTTTTTTCCGTTGCCACGGCAACCGAGATCACACGACGTTACTAACCTCGACGTTGCCCAAGGCACGAATGCTATGAGTCGCGAGAACGCGAGTAGCAATCGATTCGTGATAAAAGTTACGTTCTTAAAACCACTGAAAGTTGGCGCGAAGCAGTCGATACACTGAAACGAAGAACGAAGCACGAAATACTTCAACGGTCATGGCTCTCACGTGAAATTTTATCCTCGTATATCCTCGTCGAGGTAGGTTAGCAAACAGTGGGAAAAAGGAAGGAAAAGAAACGTACACAAAGTGTGTATATACTGCATTAGTAACGTACTAACGTTTCGATTCGTTATTTTTACATTTCGCGAATTTTTATTCCCACAATGATTAAAAGTACCTCGTGTACCCGGAGGTTTGTATTGTTATGAAAAAGTATATATGCTCGCGTGTGTGTTCGTACGTGACAAAAATTCTCTGTTCGTTTATATTTGACGCGTAGAAGCTATCGAGATGTCCCGAATCAATAATAAGCAACTGAAAGTGGTGTCAGTTTCAATGAAACTGGAACGCGACGGTATTATTTCGTTAAGCAGCGCGCGAAAGGTTAGTCTCGAGGCGTGCAGTGAATTCGAACTTATCGACCGTGCTTCGCGGAAAATCTGTATTTTCGACAGGAAAGTAACTCTTTGGTTGTTGCGCACGCCGCAGCCAGTTTGACCGTGACAGGGATACGTGCATTAGAGATGGCCTCCTGTTGAATAACGGGTAAGGGTAATTAACTGGTCAAATAACCAATGAATTTGTTTTTGTTACGTCATTTAAATTACAAATAATGGTTAAACATACCTGCGGTTGATTATTTTGGTCGTTTAACAGTTTCTAGGTAATCATTTGATAACTTATTTAATTCGAAGGACGGTTAATGCTCCCGATTACAGTTGCATTACTATTAGGTTAGGATAATGTATTCATTACACCTTAACGTGTATCTTGTTAACGTGGTGTCAAATATAAATTCATTAGGTTATGAATACTCGCGTTCAGCGTGTCATATTAAATTCAATTTTAATTAAGTGTCTTTCGTCGATGATAAATCTCGCAACGTTAATGTCAGGAAATATTAATACATAATGTATACTGAATACTATTAACAATTAAGGCAATCGATAATCGTTCGTGCAATCAAATAGGTCTTTTGAACTGGAACAAAAGTTTATCAAACAAAGCAAGAAAACGGTTATCGAGTTTAAAACTCGACGCACCGCGTTTCTAACTCGCTGGAAATAATTGGGCCAATCAATAGCTACGACTACCCTTAGTGCACCCTTTACGTCTAATGAATTCAAATCACGCGCCAAGTCATCATAATACGCGCTCGACTCGGAATCAACAAGCGAGTTACGAATTGTGTTCGGTGTGTAATCTACACCGTGAAGTTAGCCATCGGTGATCATGGCGCCGTTACGAAATTAATTCATTTTTATATACTGTTAAAATACAGATACGCGTTACCTGTTGGATTAATTTTACGTAACTGTGAAACTTCACCATGGCGTCAGGATGAATGTTTCGGTTTATTGCAGCTCGTCGTAATAAAATGAGCAAATATAATTATGTCGGAAATAAAATTATTTTAATATACGCTAAGACCAATTATAACAAGTTACATTGAAAATTCTGCAAACAAAGTTTATTTAAATTAATAACGGCAGACATTAGATAAATATAATCTTATTGAATTAATTTCATTATTAATTAGTTTAACAATCTTTTTTTTTACTTTTTTTTTATTTTACTCACACATTTCCAAGGCTTATATGTTGCTCTAGATGCAAAATTATTTTATATTTATAGCGATTGATTCGATCTGCCGATATTTGCTTAATAAATTAACAATTTAATTCACATCCAGACCAATACCTCGGTCAATAATTTAATTCATAAAATGTCTACGCCACTGGTAAAACGAGTACCGCTCGTGAATGGCCTCCACATCAATCACCGTGTTAAAAATCACATTAAATAGCGGTTGATTCGATCCTTTGATGCTTACACGCTCACAGTGTTAAAACAATAACTCTCTATACCTCTAGCTCCTTAACGAAACTTTTCTTCCGGTAACTATCACAGGTCACCGGATACAGCCGAACGTGTTAACCATAATTATTAACATACAATGTGCGGCAACGCGCCTGGTTACAACAACTGGCCAAATTAATTATAAAATCGCCGATTCTCATTCGCCGAAGAAGCAATCATTTCGCAACCGAAATGGGGAACGCATTGCGCGAAAATTCCCAGCGGTCCCAAGATGCAGCGCGTGTCGGGGCCCCCGCCGACTGCAGCGCGCTCTAGATCGGCGGCCGTCTAGAGAAGTGGAGGTTTCCGCGTGACACGCGACCACGTTCTCGCGGAGCACGCGTGTTTCGCGGCTGAATCGAACGGAAGCGTTATTGAATCGGCAATACGGCCGAGTGGCTCATTGGAATGCAGCGATGCATCGCTATATATACGTCAAGCTGGCGAGTGCCGGTGGCTACGACGCATCTTCAGGCTTAAACAAACGATCGGTATGCAAGGTGAGAGGCCGATCTATTCAGGCCTCGACGGAATGCAGAAAAAGCCGACGTTTGCAGACAAAAGCTATCGACAGTCTGCTCTGACCGAGTGGAAGTCTTCCTGGTGCCCGTTATTCGCCTGTCGGCCTGCTTCTTCACCCTTGAAAACGCGCCTGGAAATCTGAGATCCCATTTGAGCGGACTCGGTTCCAGTGTGTGTGCTGGACGTGTCACGCATATGCTCCGTCTGGGGACACAGACGTTGTTTAAAGAAGAAGAAGGAGCGAAAAGAGGGAAGAAAGTTGAAATTCGAACACGTCGATTGGGGATCATTGTGCTGGATGTATCGGGTATTTAAGGTAGCTAGTGCTCCCTGGTGGACGGGAGTGCTCGGGTTTGGGGATTGACAAAACTCTCGTTATCGAGCCGAGACGAGAGCTCAATTATTTAGCTTG